GGATCTCGTGGACCTGAATCTTATCATACTTCTATGACAGACCTTTTTTCCTAGATGGATCGTACTGGAAAATAGATGATGAATTGATTTGATCAAATGGAATGTGAAATGCTGTTGCTGTTTCATATCTGTGAAATCTTTTACCAAGGTTCACAACTGTTTAGCCAGAAACATGAGTTCTTTATATGGTTCCTCCAGAACTTAATATATTGTCTTTTATGAAGGTTCAGAACTATTTAGCCACAAGCATGAGTTCTACTTTATATGGTCCCTCCTGAATTAAACATATCGTTACTAAATATTTGAGTTGAGTAGCTCCTTGTTCTATCATCATACATATAGAGGCTGCCTCGAGTTTTTTTAAATAGATCAATATTTAGTTAAAAGGGACTTTGGAAGAGAGATACTCAAAGCAGATTTTTCTGCGAAAATGACTTTGGAAGAATGAAACTTACTTCAGGAGTCCCTCAATTGTGAAGTATATGGTTCATGTTGTGATGAAAAAAATAGGATGAGTCCTCAAACATGCCATGATGTAATTGAATTGTGATCTCTACTAAAGAAACATTATCCTGCAGTATTGGAGGTTGGAGATGGTGTGTTTGAGGTGCTTTCCACATCTGGTGACACACACCTTGGTGGCGATGACTTCGATAAGGTATGTAATTCCATTTTTATTTTTAAGAGATTAACTACTGCCGAATCTCCATTTTGGAATTTCGTGAAAATACATCGCAACTGTTCGAACTGTTTTCTATGGAATGTTGCACTATGCATTTTTGACAAATATTATATGATGTGGTGCCTCTTATGTGTATTACATTATTCTTTCTTTGGTAAACTCACAATATCAGTCAACCAAAATTTCTCAATAGGTTGCTCGTTCTATATAATTATGTTATTGCAGTTTTATTTCTGTTGGGTATTTTACTTTGGAGCCATGACTCATGAAACTCCTGTAAGTATGAGCTCTGTGTGTTTTGTGCTGGAATCTGACCTCTTCAAGCCTTCCATATATTCTTTATGTAATGCCCATGACCTAAAAATATGTAATTTGAACTTTTGAAAGTCAACTTAGGCTTCGTTCGTTCCCGGGTGATCTGGGAGATTGAGAGAGAAAACATCTCGTTTTCCGCGCGCACGCTTCCCAAACTATTAAATGGTGCGTTTTTTGCAAAAAAAATTCCATAAGAAAGTTGCTTTAAAAAATCATATTAATCCATTTTTAAAATTTAAAATAGTTAATACTCAACTAATCATACGCTAATGGCTCACCTCGTTTTGTGTATCTTTCCAATCTTCCCAATCTCCTCAATCCCCTTCTCCTCAAACACACCCTTAGCATATCAAAGGTCTATTGGCATTGTAGTGTAGCTCCATGGACAACATACCTATCAGTTGAACTGATTCTTTTACTGACAGTATGCTATATTTATTGTTTTTTTTTAATTTGAATGTTATCCTTGAATTATGTAGAAAGTTGTGGATTGGCTTGCTAGCAACTTTAAGAAAGATGAAGGCATTGATCTTCTGAAAGACAAACAAGCCCTGCAGCGACTCACTGAGGCAGCAGAGAAAGCGAAGATGGAACTGTCTACGCTGTCTCAGACAAACATTAGGTGAGCTTCTTTCCAATTGTTCTCACAGAGTATTCTATTGCTCATTTGGTGATTTTTCTTCTTAAATAATTGAATGTCTTGAATTGCAGCTTGCCTTTCATAACTGCTACTGCTGATGGGCCTAAACACATCGAGACAACTCTCTCCAGAGCCAAATTTGAGGAGCTATGTTCGGACCTCATTGATAGGTAAAATATGGACATTCTGCTGATATATAAGCCTATTGCTTAGGAAAATGATTTGCATTTTCTCAAATTTTTTTAAGGCTTGACTAATATGTTTCTTATTGATAGGCTTAAAACTCCTGTCACTAATGCCTTGAGAGATGCCAAACTGTCTGTTGATAACCTGGACGAAGTGATTCTTGTTGGTGGATCCACTCGTATCCCTTCCGTGCAAGAGCTTGTGAAGAAGATCACTGGCAAGGATCCCAATGTCACAGTCAACCCTGATGAGGTTGTTTCTCTTGGGGCAGCTGTACAGGTCACTTTCTTGTCCTCACAAGTGCTTTAATTTGTTGTTCTTTGCAGAAAATCATCCATAAACCTTCTAATTACTTCACTGATCTTAAGTGCATGTTTCCTGCATTATAGTGGATCACAAATCAATTTATATGTATTTAAAACTAACTGCCCAAAGCGTGTTTTAACACTGCCAAGACTGCATTTATCTTGTTCCGAATCTGAAATCTCAAATCAATATATTTTGTGTTTCCCTTGTAACACCAGGGTGGAGTTTTGGCCGGAGATGTGAAAGATGTCGTTCTTCTTGATGTTACTCCATTGTCTCTTGGTCTGGAGACGTTGGGTGGAGTGATGACCAAGATTATTCCCAGAAACACAACACTGCCCACCTCAAAATCAGAGGTATTCTCCACAGCTGCAGATGGACAGACAAGTGTTGAGATAAATGTTCTTCAGGGAGAGAGAGAGTTTGTCCGGGACAACAAGTCTCTTGGAAGCTTCCGCTTGGATGGAATCCCTCCTGCACCACGTGGTGTTCCACAAATTGAAGTCAAGTTTGATATTGATGCCAATGGTATTCTCTCTGTTGCTGCTATTGATAAGGGTACTGGGAAGAAACAGGATATCACCATCACCGGCGCTAGTACACTGCCAAAGGATGAGGTATGTTCCCACCTTATTTGCTTAAGCATTGTGTGATTACATTCATCAAAAGTTGGTTGCCAGCTTGCTATATTGCAACTAGGTACAAAGTTGGCAAGTTTCTTCTTAACGTATGATAGTTTTCTGCATGGTTATCTAGTTGTAGATTTTCTTTTCCACCATATGTTGTGCAGCTTCTTTCTTTGATTCCCAATCCCGTTATTTGCTACTGGTGTGAAATTTATTTACCAAATTTCTTCTATTATGGTAGAGTTTTTCATATCTTTACCAGATCGCATGTATTGACTATTTGTTTGCATATAATCTATGTTGATGGAAGAGTAATTGAATTTTTTGTGGTATAGAGTTTAGGTATCAGTTCCTCTAGGGAAACAACACTATGCTCCTGTAAGCGAAGATACAAATGCCTACATTGAAGCATAACATTCAATCTGAAACAACATTTTGTGTTTGTAGGTTGAGAGAATGGTGGAAGAGGCTGACAAGTTTGCTCAGGAGGACAAAGAGAAAAGAGATGCCATTGATACCAAAAACCAGGCAGACTCTGTGGTCTACCAGACTGAGAAGCAACTGAAGGAGCTAGGTGACAAGGTACCTGCACCTGTGAAAGAGAAGGTGGATGCAAAGCTCAACGAGCTCAAAGAGGCCATTGCGGGTGGATCAACACAGAGCATGAAGGATGCCATGGCTGCTTTAAACGAGGAAGTTATGCAGATCGGCCAGGCCATGTACAACCAGCAGCCTAATGCTGGTGCTGCTGGACCTACTCCTGGTGCCGATGCTGGACCGACAAGCTCAGGCGGTAAGGGACCGAATGATGGAGATGTTATTGATGCGGATTTCACTGACAGCAATTGATAGTTCTAGCGATTGAAGATTATTGATGGAAGGATGATCTGTGGTGGATGGCTGTGAGGGTCTGATGGGTGATGGTATAGGAAGAAGGGAGTGAACAAATTGTTCTTTTTGTTTACTATGGATCCCATGTTCAATAGGCTCTTTAGTTTGCAATTTGATAGCGTAGGGTTTTGCCAACATTTTCCTGTGATGTTGAATGAAGGATTATAAAAAGTAGCCTTCAAAAAAAGAGGAGGCAAAGGTTTTGATCGAAGAAGTAGCTGATTGATATGACCTTGTTCCTTGAAAATAAAAATATCATTAGTTCCCTGTGCATTTTACCTGCTAGAAACTAAAATTAGCGCGTGGAACATATTGTCCTTTTTTATTTTGTGTGACTTCCTGCATTTCAAATAGAATGAGAAAGGTTGGAAATGATATCATTTTTTATTATTTTTACGCTGTTGGGAATTTAACTATGCAGTGACGACCGACTGATAGAAATTGAAAAAAAAAACTAAATTTTATACTCCCTTTATTTACAAGTGATCATCATATATATTTTTTTGGGGATTCCTTTTTCAGAAATGATTAGCATATTTGGTACCTCTCCCAACATCTTTTTGTTCTTTGATGCACTGATCAAATGGACTGCAGATCATTTTTTTCCTTTTTGGTGTTGGTGTAAACATCTAATATAACTGATCAATTCTAAATTGAGGGAGTATGTGACTAGAAACAAAAAACAAAAATGGTTGGAAATATTATTTTTATGAAAACGATATTGGTATGGTACAGAAATTTTCGCAGCGTTTTCATCGCAACTTTCAAAAGGATAACTCAAGTTAATGTCACATAAGCACATTTCGTCCAGTTCGTCTGTAGAGGTGTTTTTGGGTTTGATTTTTCAGTAGTTTTGACAAGAAAAACAACTATGCCTGAAGATCCCGGTTTAATGAAGAATTTAATTAATGATTGCACGATTGCGTTTATGCAGAAATAACAAACATGGTCACGGATACCAAACAGTTAAAAACATTGGAATGAACGTGAATGATGAGAAAACAGATACAGGAAACGTACAACTAATGATCTAACAATATATTATGCTATCTAAACTTCGTCAGTTCCACAGCTCTGCATCGAGTATCAGCCTTTGGATCCCTGGTGCTGCCGAAGGAACATAGAAGACGATACTTTCTCCGTTTCACAATGTAAGTCATTTTAGCATTTCCCACATTCATTTTAATATTAATGAACACAGAAGACGATACTTTCTCCGTTTCACAATGTAAGTCATTCTAGCATTTCCCACATTCACTTTGATGTTAATGAACACAGAAGATGATACTTCCTCCGTTTCACAATGTTAATAAATCTAGATAGATATATATGTCTACATTCATTAACATCAAAGTGAATGTGGAAAATGCTAGAATAACTTACATTGTGAAACAGAGGAAGTAATTTGCTAAAGCATTTTGCCAGAAAACAAAAATTAGGAAGCATCTCTTAAATATTCTAATGTTCCAGGTCACTACATTATTACAGTGCACAGCTTAGCATATTTCAACAGTAAATCATGTAGTGAAAAACAGATGATGGAACCTCCAGAGAGTATCCAGATCAGTTCTTTGCAGTGAGGGCATTCTGCTCCTTGATCCGAGCTCGGTTCACCAGCTTGACGAACCGTTTCAGGTCTTCATAGGGGAGCGTCTTGGCATCTTTCCTCCGCAGCTCACTCAGCATAGGGCGCTTGTCGAGCAGGTGCCACAGCCACTCAGGGTATTCAGAATCTGGCTGGAGTTTCGGATCAGACCCCTCCTTGAGGATATTTGCCCCAAACACTGTTGTACTCTTAAGTTCTTTGCTGAGCACAGGGGTTTTAGCAGCATCGGCCGCACCCTTTCCGCCCTTCTTTGCCTTGCTTGCAATTGCAAATCCTCTTATGCCAACTACTTGAGCTGCATCTCTTGGGATTACACCATGTTTCAGTACTCTTCTCAATGCCATTGCCATTCCTGGATGGAAGCTTTTAACTGCATATATCGGTAAATATCAGTGCTGTTGAAAAAGTTTCTGCAAGCAAATAATATATTTGCAAACACATATAGATGTACAAATCGTGGCTCAAGGTTAGCCTATTTGGGTCAATATTATTTCTGCTTGTTGCTGCACCTGGTGTCATAATGTAACAGGGGGTTGAGCTCAGAAACAGACACAGGTTTAATCCTAAGATGCCCACAACAGCTTATTAACTTGCGCATGTTTCTCTACTGAATACATGAACCGCAATGGAAATCAGGATATACACCCATCAGCTAATAGCCTCGCCCATAAAAAGGCGATGGAGGCATTTCACTTTCAATTAGATTAGGTAAAAATGTAGTAAACAACAGTATACCTAGTGCAAGAACAACCAAGACTAACCCATGCAAGCTGAGAGTTGGAACCTAAAATGATCATACATTTATGAACGAACTGTCATCACCAATAATATTTTCCCTACGAGCATCACAATATGCAACCTGGTGAACAGAGAGGGGTGTAGTAACTAAGAAGGTTGGCATGCTCCTATACAATTTTGTTCATACAAAACATGTTCGCCTCTCTTCCTTTCACTTTGATGTAGATAGTGGAGAGCACAATGCTTCACAAAAGATGGGGCTCACGTTCCATAATTTTGGCTCACATAGCACTTGTGCTAGAACCACAAAAAAGAGTAATTAACAAGGGATCTCCATGTACCATGCACTATAAATAAGAAGTTAAAGATGTTCACAGGGCAGTGAAGATAAATGTCCAGCTAACGAAGCACTCTACGCATCACAAAATTCAGTTCAGTTGTAAAGAAAGAAAAAAATCCACATGGAATCAGGGGCGGATCCAACTTGGGACATGGGGGTTCAGTCAAACTTTTGGGTGAACAAACAAAAAAACAAACAAACTGTTACTAGCTAGTTGTATTAAGAGAGGTTTAAGGCTCTCAAATTAACAAGGAGGAGGAGAAGAGCTTCTTCCAGATCTAGAAGAGAAGCTAGTAGGGTTAACGAACGCAAGCGAATTCAAGGTCCCAGTGGGGTGGGGGAGAGAGATGAATCAGAAAGAGGCTCACCAGGATCCCCTCCCCTACTCTCCTCGCCAGATGGAGATCGGCAGCCGCGACTCGTCTTGGCGGCGGCGCAAGGAGCGGAGGAGGAGCCAACGAGACGGGAGATTTCTCTCTTTTACGCGATATACTCGACTACTGCCCAAATGGGCCGCCCGGCCCGGCAGCGCCCAGGCACGACCGGACCTAGGCCCAGTCAAGGCCCCTTCTCTTTGGACAGTGCCTTATAAGGCTGCACTAAGTCTATTTTGGGTCCCCAACTATTTTTCTTTGACTTATATAAGGCTGAATTGAGTCTATTTAGGCTGGATTTTCCGGATTGAAACTACAAAGCGGTATTTTTGTTTGAAGCTATGGGATCAAAGTCCAGTGTCCTCGATGCAAACTTTGTCTGATGAATTGACAACAATTAATCAGATAATACAGTTGCATATGAAAATTACTAGTTATGTATGTGCGCAGATAAAGAGATACAAAACCACACATCAAGTGTTTATTCTATCCATATACTGTCAGGTTTATATTGGCTGTGTGTGACGGGGCAAATATCGATCGGTTGTGTGTGGCGGGGCGACTGATGACTAGAGAGGTGGAGATATTAGGGATGGGGGGAGAGAAAAGGGGGAAGGGGTGAGGTGACCTTTGGAGGGGTAGAACAGTTGGTGTGCTAGCGACGACGACGGAGCTCGCAATAGGTGTAGGGGGCCGAGACGGTGTAGAGGCGATAATTGACCGCCACGCCGTGCGTGGCTGGCGTTGATTAGGGTCCGGGGGCAATGGAGTCGGGGAGGATTGAAGGCGGCGCGCGGCGGCAGAGGAGAGATGAGGGCAACGATAAAAACTATGGCGAGCTGGCGCCCTTGACAGCTCTTGCGGGGCAGAGGACGTACAGTGCAGCGGCTAATAGGGAGGGGAGCGCTGATAAGCATGGCGGAGCGGTTTCTGGCGTTAGCACGTGCAGGAGCAGAATTGGGGAGAGGCGCAGGGGTGAGTGGGGATGTGGTGCACGATTGAGAGAGGTGGGATTGATCTCGATTGTTGGGAGCTGTTGAGTGATGAATGAAAGAACGAGTGATGAGTGAAACCACTTGCTACACTATATGGGGAATAGATAGAGGTAGAGAAATGGGAGAGGTTTATCCTCTCTTTCTCAAAAAAAAAAAGAAAAGAAAAGAAAGGACCCAACCGTGATCAACCACTGCCTCGATTCCCTTGGTCCTCCGAGAATCTCGCCGGCGATGGCTGGGAGTTGGTTACTGCGCCGCGTTCTCCCACCCCAGCTGGTTATTTATAGTGCGGCGGCACTCCTCCATTCTCCTCCATTCCCTAATTTGTATAATGGTTCTCTTTGCAAAAAATGTGCTGGTGACCAAACTAATAGGAGAATGGTTAGGGAGTCTAAGATTCAGGAGGTCTCTTGTGGATAGGAAACATTTGGAATGGGTTAAACTTAATCAACTTTGTCAGTCAATTGAACTGACTGGGGAGGAGGATAAAGTGGTTTGGAAACTGACTAAAAATGGCATTTTCACTGTTAAATATTTCTATAAAGCAATGATGATTCAAAACACTGGCTTTCAATTCAAGAATATTTGAAATTTAAAATTTCTCCTAGAGAGAAGGTTTTCCTGTGGCTGATGTTGAAAAATTGCATTTTAACCAAAGATAACTTGCTGAAAAGGGGATGAAAAGGGAAGGAGGCAAAAAAATGAAACTGTGGAGCATCTTTTTAAAATGCCCAATTTCAAGACTCATTTAAAACATAGTGAGTTGTGTGTTTGATTTGAAACCAATCCATAATATACATCACTTGTTTGGGAGGTGGCTTTAGGATTTTCAAAAAAAAAAAAAAGATAAAAACTTTGTGGTGGTGGGAATTGCAGGCAGCTATTGTTTGGACTATATGGAAGTTCAGAAATGCTGCATGTTTCAAAAAATAAAAGAACACAAGATCCTTTAGAGCTGATATATGCTGTTTGCTCCTGGATCAATCTTTGGTCCATTTTGCAGAAATCGGGGGACACACAAGACAGGCTTCAACGGGACGCGGCTTTGTTAAAGACGGTGGTCACTGACTTCTACAACACAAGATTTGGATAGAATCCATATGTGATGCGGATACAGGGGATAGGATGAAGATTTATGCCTTCTAGTGGCTGCAGTTTCTGTTTTTTTTTTCTCTGCTGAATCTTGTTCCCTTTTGCTGTAAGACTGTTAAAGACTTTGTATTCTTATTTCGTTAATGAAATGGGAGAGGTCTATCCTCTCTTTCTAAAAAAAAGCCCAACCGTGGTCAACCACCGCTGCGATTCAAAAATTTCAACTCAAATTTTAAAATTCAAAACTTTCAACTCAGAATTCAAAAACTTTGAAATCAAATTCAAAAATTTTCAAGTCAAAATTTGAAACCTTCATATGAAAATCCAAAACTTTTAACCCAATAATTATTCATTTTTTATTAAAAGGCTAAATGATAAGATTAGAGAAGGGATTAGACGACCTAAGCATATACAGGAGTATCGCTAAGCGCTAGGATTAGTGCGCGCAGCTAGCTTACCGTTGTGGCGCGTGCGCGCGCACTGGCAGCCCCCGAGGTTTATCCTTTTTTTAAAAAAAAGACAAAAAAAGAGGGAAAAACAACCGTGGTCAACCAACCACCGCCGCTATTCCCTGGCGCACCGGGAATCTCGCCGGCGATGGCCGGTAGTTTGTTACGGCGCCTCACTGGCTATTTATAGACTACAGTGCGGCGGCAGTGGCACTGATCCCATTCTGCGTCGAGCTGCCTAGCTATCGATCTTCGTACGTAAATACGTCTCCCTCGTCTCCGGCGAGCCACCGGCCGTGAGAGATGGCGCCGCCGTCAGCCATGAACACGTCGAGGGCGGAGGAGAAGGCCATCGACGACTGGCTCCCCATCACCTCCTCCCGCAACGCCAAGTGGTGGTACTCCGCTTTCCACAACGTCACCGCCATGGTCGGCGCCGGCGTCCTCAGCCTCCCCTTCGCCATGTCCGAGCTCGGCTGGTACATAATTCATTCATCATTTCTCCTTCTCCATTTCATTTCATCGTCCATGGATGAGTGTTCGATTTTGTTTTTTTTTGTAGGGGTCCGGGGGTGGCGGCGATGATCATGTCGTGGGTGATCACGCTGTACACGCTGTGGCAGATGGTGGAGATGCACGAGTGCGTGCCGGGGCGGCGGTTCGACCGGTACCACGAGCTCGGGCAGCACGCGTTCGGGGACAAGCTGGGGCTGTGGATCGTGGTGCCGCAGCAGCTCGTCGTCGAGGTCGGCGTCTGCATCGTCTACATGGTCACCGGCGGCAAGTCGCTCAAGAAGTTCCACGACCTCGTCGCGCCGCCCTCCGCGCCGCCGATCCGGACCTCCTACTTCATCGTCATCTTCGGCTGCCTCCACCTCGTCCTCTCCCAGCTCCCCAACTTCAACTCCATCAGCGGCGTCTCCCTCGCCGCCGCCGTCATGTCGCTCAGCTACTCCACCATCGCCTGGGCCGCCTCGCTCCACCACCACAACCACAACAATGGCGCTGCCGCCGGAGGTGTGGACTACTCGCTGACGGAGGCGACGCCGGCGGGGAGGACGTTCAACTTCCTGAGCGCGCTGGGGGACGTGGCGTTCGCGTACGCGGGGCACAACGTGGTGCTGGAGATCCAGGCGACGATCCCGTCGACGGCGGAGCGGCCGTCCAAGGGGCCGATGTGGCGCGGCGTCGTGCTGGCGTACGGCGTGGTGGCCGTATGCTACCTCCCCGTGGCGTTCGCGGGTTACTACGTGTTCGGCAACGCCGTCGACGACAACGTGCTCATCACGCTGGAGCGGCCCGCGTGGCTCATCGCCGCCGCCAACATGTTCGTCGTCGTGCACGTCGTCGGCAGCTACCAGATCTACGCCATGCCGGTGTTCGACATGCTCGAGACCTTCCTCGTCAAGAAGCTCCGCTTCAAACCCGGCATGCCTCTCCGCCTCATCGCCCGATCACTCTACGTCTGTAAGTGTGCTAGCATGCACTAACACACACACACACACACACTTGATTAGTGATCCAATTAATTAATTAATTACCCCCTCCAAAACGGGAGAATTTACCTTTTGCCATCCTCTCAAAATACCAGTTCTCAAATGCCACTCTCCTAAAATTTCATTTCCAAATACCACCTGGGTCCACATGTCAGCCTCTTTTCCCATTCAAATAAAAGTGACGTGGGACTGGATGGTGTGTGAGGCTGATATGTGGGCCCGGGTGGCATTTGGAAATGAAATTTTGAGAGAGTGGCATTTGAGGACTGACATTTTGAGAGGATGGTAAAAAGTAAATTATCCCCTCCAAAAGTATTTTCTATTATAATACATAGAAATATTAATAAATATATGATTTTATTGAAGTACTTTTTTAAAACTAATTTACACATACGGTTTTCATATTTTTAAGATAAATATTTTAGAAATTATTAACTAATTTAATTAATAATTACTCTCTCTGTCCTCAATTATAAGGCCTATATTTTTTTTACACGGTTTTTAATAACATACTTTAACTAGTATCTTTTCCATTTCATGATCCAAACAAATATAAAATTAGCATCACATAAAAGTACTTTAAAATATAAATCTATTTTGAAATATAAATCTATTTTGAATTTACTGATATAACATGCATAAAATTTACTGATATAACATGCATAATATTTAGTATAGATATAGTTAGTATAATTATTAATAAAACTACTAAGTTTGATTTTTCTTAAAAATAGAGTGTCCTATAATTTAGGACCGAGCGAGTAGTTGTCAATTAGTCTATCATATGTTGTTAATTAGGATCTAATAAATCTTAATTTGTACTAATTTTGGAGTATTGAATTTCGCAGTGTTCACCATGTTCGTTGCCATCGCGGTCCCTTTCTTTGGTGGACTGCTAGGCTTCTTTGGTGGCTTTGCGTTTGCTCCAACGACCTACTTCGTAATAATCTCTACCATTAATTTCTTTATTATTAGAACCTTCATTAAAAATGTATATAATTTAAAATCTCTCGTGCGTATTAATCTCCGTTTTTTCTAACTGAAATATGAACAATTGTTTTTTCAGTTGCCATGCATTATGTGGCTGTCGATCATGAAGCCAAAGAGGTTTGGCTTGTCCTGGTGCATCAACTGGGTAAGTAGTATTATCCATTAATTATTTAGCATGTGCATGGTCAATTAACTAACTTGATAATTATCCTCATCTGATTGTTAATTATATATCTTGTTAATTTTAATTCTTTATATATTTTTGGTGCCTCAGTTCTGCATCATCATCGGCGTTCTTCTGTCGGTGTTCGCACCAATCGGAGGTCTCCGCTCGATCATCGTGAATGCCCAGAGTTACAAGTTCTTCTCTTGAGTGATTAATTGAGAGAAAAGGTGTTTTACCGTTCAATTAAGTGTGTTCTTAATTAATTAGGGGATTGTTTTAGATAATGCACAGAGTTCTATTTAATTAATTAGATGAAAGAGAAATTCGTGTGTCCCTATGAGACATCTGTGTGGATTGATATAGTAGTCGATCAAATGAAGGCATATTATTTATTTGGCCTTTGTTTGTCGATCTAGTACTCTAGCGTTAATTTAATTCGTGTCGAGTTTATCCCAATTTTTGATGATGTTTGTGCTCTATTATCACGTGGTGTGGCATTCGTTTTAAGGGTTTATGATTGGTTCAAACTTCGTCCTAGTTTTTACACGATTTGAACTTGAAATCAATTACTTTCAATTCGACTCTTGCGCGAGTCTCACTAAAAAAAGTTATCGAGTAAGAATATCGAGTAAGAAAAAAAAGGATGTTGCTGTACCACGGGAAAGCATGGCAGATGGCGAGAACCAGGTACATGAACAATTAACCAAAACATCATAAACATCATATGTACAAATCAGCACAAAGAAACTTCAGCCACGCTACAAGCAGTTCGCTGGGAGGAGGTAAAGTCTCTTGTACACTCAAGTAATATATTGCAGTAGGAGCCTCTCCAACTGTTTTTCCGTCAAAAAAAAAACCTGAGGAGAGCCGACGCTGAAACAAAATTTGACCCAACCTCACACCTCTGGGAGGAGAGTGCCGATGCTGAAACAGAATTTGACAAGGTTTAAGAGATCACACGATTTCAAACTGAGGTTGACGATAATTGCGCCCCATTCCTTTGGTAGGGTACTTTGCCATATCAGATATCCATTGCCTCGGAGGCCGATGAAGCATTCTTCTTCTTGTTCTTTCTTTTCTTGTCCTTAGGGTCCTTCCCCTGCTTGGCGGAATTGCTCTCCTTTCTCGCAGAGGGTGGCTGTGTTGACAACAGGTGCTGATGGATCGCCGCAAACGGGTCGAGCTGGAACTGCGGATTGGTCAGCACAGCATTCAGTTGGGCAGCCTCCCGTTGCCTGAAAGGAGAGACAAAGCCAGTCAAAAACCATAAGTGGAAAGAAAGCAAAGAACGCAAGTGGAGGGGCAGATGAGGCAATTACACTAAAGCTTGCTTCGATTTGCAGTTCAGTTTTGCTTCGGTGTGCAGATTTGAGGCATCTGTTTCAGGAAGGAACTCAGAGAGCATTGAGAGATCATATGCTTTCAGTTTCTTCTGGCGGCTCCTCTGTTTAGATTTCTGCACAAAGAAATTTAAATAATCACAACCCATAACACTGATAGTGCAAAGTAAAGCAAGTGTAACTTCCAGAAAACTACAAATGGAGTAGCCCAGCTGCAATAAAAAGAATCAGTTGTAAGGAAGGACAGTGTGGAGAGATTAAAGGCCAAGAACAGAACGGAGAGACTAAAGGTCTCATTTCAGCATCTACAAGTATATTTACTCTAAAATATAGATGCATTAACATATGAAATGAACAGAATTAATGTTCGCAGTTTGTGTCTAGAATATATGAAACCACAAGATTGTAACTATATGTTGGGAAATTCATGAGTCAAGAGCCAACTGGTCTTGGCATTTGTTTTTCCATATGGAGTTAGGCACGTATGGGTTTCCTAGGATCCTAGTCATCCCATCACAGTAGGAGGGAATACAGGAGACAGTGGATCATCAGTGCAAGTACAAAAAGCATATTAGGGTTCCAAGCAGGTCCCAAGTACAAAATCCATTCTCATATCTGTTTATGGATATGGTGTGGTTATTTTGCTAGTCTTCACATGTAGACAAGCATTTGGATGACAATATAATACTTTCTTACGCAGATAATTTTTAGCATACCACAAATACACAGGACAAGAGACTAAACATAGCTAGCGATTGAGAAAATCAGACTTACAAATATATACTTGACCAATACATACAATTTGGAATTTATCCTTGAAATATCTAAGCATTGGTTGCGTTATACGCCCACGCCACTCATGGAGCAAAACAATAACAGTAAAAACAAGCTGCAACAACAGAAGCTACAGAAAATATTCAATTGCAACCAAAGGTGAAAAGCCATACACCCATAGAATCTGCTGAAGTCTGATTCAAGCTAGAGGCATGTAGATATTTTTTGCCAGGGCATGGCTTGTTTCTGTTTATACTTTACAGCTGTCATGTGAACAAGAAACAGCTGGTCTAGTTCACGTATGGTGGACACCAACACCCCTAGTTTGGATTTGTTCAGCAGGTTTATTAGATGAACGCTCCATAATATTTTTTGGTTCAATTAGTGAACAAATAAGGCCATAAGGAGGACAATATGCTTAATATTATTGCATAGTGTAATTGATTCCCCTTAGCTAGGTGTTGGCTGTGTTGAGAAGGATTCAAAGGTTATGGTCATCAAGGCCATGTTAAAAACAGAGAATAGCTCCTGATTTCTTTGCTAAACTTTTTGTGGCTTGTGCTAGTGATGCATTACATTATACCAGGGTTACAAACATGACAAAAACCAGTGAGTAGTAACCAGTGCTTGGTTTTCTTGCAATAGCCATACCCGCTATAGTGAACTGGAACCTAGACAAGCAATTTTTCGTCTCGTGCTATTAGAGGAACTTTTTGTTCAAATAAGTTTTGCCAGAAAGTGCCTGGTTCTGCTCAGTACTGGATGGGTTGGATGTGCAGAGCACATTCCTTAAGAGGTAAATTCCACCTAGCAAGAGACTAGCTGAAGAGTGCACCCACACTATTTAAAAACCCAGTCTTGCAGAAATTATTTACTATTAGTATCCGGGAGGTCCTATTTCTTTCTTAGCTACAACCTACAAATGCCACACAGAGGTTAATTGGGGAACTGTGCACAGTAATCAGTCATGAAGCATAGATATTTCAGTTCTGAGTGTAACCTAAAAAATATGGGATTACGAATTGAGATCTAGCATGCAAAACTGGTGTATTAAGTCAATAGAAACAGAAACGACAGGACATGATACTAGGTAGTTCGAATTGTCAAAAATCCATTTTTTGGGCAAGATAGTATTCAATGTTTGTGTACGAGGAACACACAAATTTGCAATGCTGAAGAGAATTAAAGAACACTATAATAATAAACGAGAGGGTCTATAAGCACCTTGCAGATAGTCTTTGTAGCATTTAGGGAGGTTACTGCATCTTTCACTTCTGAGAAACAAAAACAAAAATAAATCAATTATACTATAAACCACAGTAAACAAAAAAACATGCTATTCCGCAAAATATAGTCAACGACTCAAGGTAGACAAGAAAAAGGTAGGAAAATGAAACAGAGTCCAGCTAGCAGTAAGCCCAATCATAAATCGTAATCTATCAATGTTTCGACTTTCGAGTGCAGTACCACAAACTAAGCTACTATCTACTTTACAATATACATGTTCTGTAAACACAAGTAATCTACAAAATAAAAGGTATACTAAAAAGGCTACAACTATTTATAGAAAACAAAAGAGGTTTTATTATCACAAAACACTAAAAACAACAAGCATGGAACATGAACGAAGAAGTATTTTTATTCATGGATAAGATATTTCCAAGCTTTCACTATTCAAGAAAAAAAAAAGCATTGCCCCTTTTACAGACATATTAATTTTCTTGGAATAAACTAATAATTAGTTGTCCTTCTTTACAAAAATGAATAACAAGCATTTCAGAATAGCAGTGAAGTAAAACATAACAAGCCAATACCACCATCCTCTGGTCTTTTGAATCAATCTCTATACATTAATCAACATTTGCCTTATACACTCCCTCCATCCAAAATATAAGGCCTATCAGTTTTTTTACATGTTCTCCAACATTGTATTTTGGAAATTAAATTATCTTACAACATATTATCAGCAATTACAAAGGTACCGTTGTATACGAAATACCACATGCATGACATTAAACATATACATTGTTAGTTCAATTACTAGCCAAAGATTGCAAATGTTGATTTTTCCTGGAATAAGGGAGTACAGCCAAAAAATAATGGAAAGGCACACCTACTTGTGTAGAAGCTGAGCTTCTTCTCAAGCTTCTGTTTGGACTTCAGTTCATGCTTCTTAGGTGACCCAGTCCTGAAAGCAGGGGCGGATCCAACTTGGGACATGGTGGTTCAGTTGAACCCCCAAACTATTCGGTGAACAAACAAACAAACAAACAAAATGTTACTAGCTAGTTGTATTAAGAGAGGTTTAAGGCTCTCAAATTAATAAGGAGGAGGAGAAGAGCTTCTTCCAGATCTAGAAGAGAAGCTAGTAGGGTTAACGAACGCAAGCAAATTCCAGGTCCCGGTGAGAGATGAATCGGAAAGAGGGCTCACCAGGATCCCCTCCCCTCCCCTCCCCTTCTCTGCTCGCCAGATGGAGATCGGCGCGCCCTGCCCTGTGTGTTGGCGGCGGCGCAAAGGAGCGGAGGAGGAGACAACGAGAGAGAGAGACGGCAGATTTCTCTTTTCTTTTACGCGATACGAGACGCCAGGGCCCAGGCACGACCCGAGGTCAGTCGGGCCGGCTGTGCCGTGCCCACGGGCTGCATCCACGGCCCAGTCTAGGCACAATAAGACTCGGGCTATGCCAGCCGATCCAAAGGCACGATAGTCCATCGTGCTTTTCTACAAAATAAGTCTTTTTCCGTCTCTTATCTCTTTGGGTTGTGTCATATATGATGGAATAAGTCTATTTATGTCCTTCTCTTTGGACAGTGCCTTATAAGGCAGAATTAACCCCAACTATTTTTCTTTGACCATGCCGTGCTGGGCAGCCCCACCATGCCAAGGCATTGGCCCAAGCACGGCCCAATTATTGGGCCAAGCTGGCACGAGCCCGACAATAATTGTGTCGTTCCATGCTTGGACCAGGCCAAATGGTCGGGCTGTCGGGCCTCGGCCTTATGGCCATCTATAGTCTACTCCAACTTTATCTTAATATTTTTACTATTTTAAAACTAGTTAATAGTATTTCTTTATGATGACTGGTGACCCACATATCATCAAAAATTAACAAACACAGTTAGCGATTGTGTCGACAACAAATTTCTCAGACCACTAGCAACCACTAACTGATACTCCATGCACCGTCATCACCGCTCTTTCTCCTGAGCCACCATCGTTCCTCCTCTTTGCCTTTACCGTCATCACCGACATTTCTTTTTCTCCTCCACTATCGTTATGCACACTATTGTTATGGTTGCATTGAGGTCGGGGATGTCGGGCGTGAAGGGACTGGGAGGCAGGAGTTGACCTAACAAAAAGCGAAGACGCTATATCCGTGCTCCTTCTTGCTATACCTAGCAGTTATCAAACGGAGGGAAAAAGAAAATGGAGAGAGAGAGATAGTGTGCGGAGTGATTGCTGAGTCATCAGACTTGGAGATGGATATAATAGGGTGGTCCAAATTGAAATGTAAAGTTAGCTATTGTGTAAAAGAAAAGAATGGTTAAATGATGACATAATATGAAAACTTTTAAGAATATTTAAGAATACATAGTATGGACTGTAATTTACTCCCTCTGTAAAAAAAGGAATCTAGAGATATGACATAGTGTAGTATAGCAAATCTGGACATAGGCATGTATAGATTCGTTTTACTTGGATATGTCACATCCAGTACTAGGTTGGCTTTTTTTATTGGACAGAGAGAGTATTTTTTTTCTCTAGCACAATTAAAGATGAGTTGTCCATTAGCTGAAAGTAGGGATATGATCTAAAATGTATCGGATGGTTGAAAATAAATGAAAACCAATGGTTGATATGTTTTTTCTCACAACTTTTTAAATAAAATACATCTAATCTAACCTAATGGTCTAAATTATCGGGTCCACCGATTTGAGTGAAAATTGACGGTGAGATTAGGCATTGCCACGTGGTGGTCTAGGAGCGTTTGTAGATGTGCCACGTGGAGGCTTGAGAGCGTTTGTAGGAAGTTTAATGGACCTTTAGTATATAACTAGGAAGGTAGCCCACGCGATGCGCGAGCATGTATTAGAGATTATGTTTGAAAAAAAATTAAAATGATAGAATATCAACCAGATGACACTTGCCATTTCAAAAATACTGTTTATCCATAACTTATCCTCATCAGTGTTGCTTTTATAATTTGTCCAATCTATTTGTTAGCTTTTAAAATATATAATATTTAATACATTCCTATAAACAATTATCTAACAATATGTAGAAAAGAGTTAGATTTAATTTGTATGGAAACATGTAGTGTTCTGTCTTGTTTAATAAAATGTTTAGGGGCTTTCTTTTTTTTAGCAAATCCTAAATAACATTATTGTTAATGAATATGTTTTATTTGTACCACCAAGCTAGTCCTCCTATTTGGTTCAATTGACACAATTTGTTATATATATATATTTACATATAAATTTCTAAGTAGACCACCCTTCCCTGATATATGCGTGATCTATAGTATCGTTTATTTTAAAAAAGAAAATACCTAGTCAATATGAGTTAGAACATTCTAGTTTAACAATTAAAAAATAACTTCTTAACCAACTGTAAAGCTAACTTTGTGTGGCTTATATATGCAATAATATGCGGAGGAACTCATAATGTCATGAAAGCCAGTAATATCTAAGCACTTAAAAGATGTTATGGCCATGTAACATGCAATAGTTGTTCCAATTTTAGTGAAAAGTAGGAAACAATGTTCCTTTTATATTTCTTGTTTAATTTTATACAACTCTTATTTTAAGTTCAAAATATAGGTGTTATGGATCTTTAAATTGTTGGTTTAATTATGAATAGAGCAATTAGATTAGAAACCAGATGTGTGGATAAAAAATTGTGTATGTTTTAATATTATTGATTATTTCTCCTTTTAGTTTGAGAGCTATAAAAATATCGAGGAAGGGCAGAGGGGAAAGTGCGAGCCGAAGGGGACTAGTAGTGTTGTGTTTGTGCGCATGTGAGGAGGAGGGCAAAGTTTTCTGTGTGTGTGTTGGGGGGGTGGTTCTTTTTTTATAAATGATTTAAGTGAAAATCGATGATCTATTGTTTTGTTTCTAAAATTTTCAAATATTTTTTTTTCTAATTATTAAGATGTAACACCTAGCGGCTTAAGATTTTCATTAAAAGTAGATGTAATGGTTGAAAATAATGGATCTACATATTTAACTCGAAACATGTGGTCAACTGTTTTTTTCCTATAATTTCTAATATTTTATTTTTAAATTTAAGATGTAATATGTGACATATGTGATACTGTTAGTGCTCTATAGATAATGTACGAGATTTAAGATGATATAGTAATTATTATCAATTTTTTATTTTTCTATTTTTTTGTTTGGTTGACACACGTAGGTGTCTACAAATGATGTACTATTTACAGCGAAATATGGGTAATATGGATCTTGAATTATTTATTTATTTATAAATAAAACAATAGTTCAAACGAACTTGAAAACCAGATATAACTTAAAAGATAGTCATTTAGTTTTCTAATTGCTGTTTGTTTATGTATTAAGTTTTTAATTAGTTAAAATTTAGAAGAAGAAAGAATTGAATGAGAGGGGAGAGGAGAGAGTATAATAAGAATATTTATTTTACAAGTTTAATGTGTTTTAATTACTATCGATTTATTGTATGAAAATAGATTAAATGCTTTATTGATTGATTAAGATGTATCTTTTTTTTCTTTTCATAAATATATTTATATGTATACACTACAAATTTAATAATATTATTTTGACTTATTATAATGTCGGATTGAGAGGAGTATTTTTTGGGAATTAGGTTCATTTAGTTTTTTCATCATATATATAGTTTAATTACTGTTAAGTTATATACAGTGATAAAATCTATATCACTCTTTTTTTCCATAATTTTATTATTTTTTGAATTGGACACAAAGGTCAGAAAATATAACCAAAAGTTACATATTTTATTCATAGTTGAATTATAGTGAATGTGGGCCCTTAAAAGTAAAATAATATAAAGAATGTAGTCCGTGCATAGGTAAGATATAAATCAGGTTCGACATTGAAATCGAAGCAGATTCGGCAAAGAGATGGATTCGAAGAACAGAGTATGCATCGGCTGCGAAGGCATCGGCTGGAGTCTGCATCAGCTGAGATGGATCGGATAGAAAACAGCCGATAGAGGTGGTGCAACCGATTCCGACGGTGATGGCTTCAAGGATGTTTCTAGAATCAATCAACGTGCTTAACAAGGATTGCCACGATGGAGATAAAGCTCTTAGAAAGGCAATTCTATCTATTAATTAGGATATCTTACGTAAATTCCTTAGAGATATGTTTGGGTAAAAGTCTACCGTAAAAACTTATGGTATCTTAGAGTTTGTTAAAGATAAGAGTCGTGTCCGGCAAGGACATATTTTGTATCTCGGGTATAAATATGACCCGGACCCATGTAATCAAACAACAACAGTTCAATACAATCTCGGCGCATCGCCACCCTTTTTACTTTCGTTCTATTTCGATGAGTTCTTACTTTCGGGTTGAGCTGCATCGATTCGATCTTCAACTAGAGGTAAACTTGTCACTTGTCATGGCGGATTGCGTTCTCGGGATTAGTGCTTCCATCTTTATGACACTCTAATCCTGTTTATGTAATTCGTCGAGTTATCATATGCACGTTGCAATCTCTGTTAGTTGTGTTATATAACTTGTTATCGGTTGTTTCTCATTGTTAGGAAGTGACCGATAGGGTTATGTTTCGTTATTAAGTTAGATTATATCGTGTATCTATCATCTCTTAGATGTTTTCATCATCTTGCTTAGATCTTATACTTATCTTTATGCTTAATGTTGCATCAGTTGAGTTCGATCTATTAAGTAATACCTATAATTGTAATATCTGGCTTGTTTTATGATCATCGAGAGAGATAGCATCGGGGTTTCAGTCGATCTTATCTGATTTAGCTACTTTGTATCTCATATGCTTGATTGACATGCTAGATCTGCCCTTTATGCTAAGATCTTATAGCATTAAGGTATATTAGGCATTTTGTTCGATATATTCTGCTTGTTTTAATATCTTAATATAGAGTGGTATCGGAGTATTAGCCGATACATGCTAGATCTATCTGATCGGCTATGCTATAAATGTCTATATAATCAGTACTTTAATGTATATTTCGACTTAAGTGATTTATACTGTCTCGGCATGGCGACCGATCTATCCTAATCACTTAGTTTAAATATACATCGAATGATCGATTATATGTCGTTAATATCTATAGCCAATTGAGTAGATTTAGTTTTACTTTATTTATACACAACTGCCGATCGATTCCAATATGACATCGGCATCGGCTCGAAGATAAATGATATGCCATCGGCAACTAGCCGATCGGCTATCGTATATGGATTTAACCGTGGTTTTCTTGTCTTTCTTTCTTGTTGATTACAGGATCAAATCAACTAGCACGCTCACGAACCTAAAAGCAAGATTTTGGAC